CCTTGCTGGGTAAAGTATTCTTGGCTGGCAATTTTTGTCCTTTAGTATTTTGAATATATCATCCCATTCTTTCTGGCTTTTAGGGTTTGTGATGAAAAGTCTGATGTTAGTCTGATTGGGACTCACTTATAGGTGACTTGACACTTCTGTCTTGCAGCTTTTAATATTCTCTATTTGTCTTTGAGTTTTGCCAGTTTGACTATAACTTGACCTGGAGAGGACCTTTTTTGGTTGAATATGTTTGAGGATTTTGGGCCTCCTGAATCTGAAACTCTGTGACTTTCCCTATACCTGGGAAGTTTTCTGCTATTAGTTTTTTGAATATATTTTCAGTGCCATTTCCTTTTTTCTCCCCTTCTGGAATACCCATGACTCGGATATTTGAGTGCTTAAGATTGTCTGAAATCTCTCTTCGATTTTCTTCAATGTTTTATAATTCTTTTTCTTCTTTTTTCTGCCTGTGTTATATCAGATATCCAATCTTCAAGGTCAGAAGTTCTCTCTTCTGTTTGTTCTAACCTGTTGGTTAAACTGTCTGTTGTGTTTTTTATTTTGTCGAATTAATTCTTCAGCTCAACAAGCTGTGCTACATTCTTTTTCAGGGCATTGATTTCCTTGTACATTTCTTCTTTCAGGTCTTGTATACTTTTTCTCATTTTCTTATGTCATCTAGCTGAGTTTTCTTGTATCTCTTTTAATTTCCTTAGAGTTAAGCACTCAAAATTACTTGCCAGACAATTCAAGGGCTTCTTATTCTATAGGATCAAGAGCTTGAGTGTTACTATCCTTTGGTGGTGCACTTTCTTGTTTTTTCATATTTCTGGTATCTTTGCTTTGGTGTTTACTCATTGTGGCAAGGGATTTCACAGTCCATTGGTTCGACACTATTGTCTAGCTAGGATCCTGCTGGGATTGCCAATTTGGCACAGCTGCCTCAGTGCCTGTGGGCAGAAGATTTGGGCTTCTCTGGTCAGTGCCCACTCGCCGGGGCTGGTGTGGCATTCTGCGGTGGTGAGCCCTATCTGCTCGGTCGCGCTGGCCCCTCGGGGTGCGTGGTCACCAGGGGTCTCCAATGTATTGGTATTCAAACAGCTCAAAAGTTTTAATTTTTCTTTTATTTATTTTTTATTTTTTAGTTTTTATAGTAGCTGCCCAGGAAGGGGCTCCAAACCCTTGGCCTTGGTGTTATCAGCACCATAGTCTAACCAAGTTAGCTAGTCAGCCAGCCCTATTATCCTTTTAAGTGAAATTTGTCTGTAGTCATATTGGAAGTATGTAAGAAAGATTCTTCCTCTGGGCCGGCCCGGTGGCGCACTGGATAGTGCGCCGCTTGGGAAGCGCAGTGGCGCTCCCGCCCGAGGGTTCGGATCCCACTTGCAGACCGGTTCCCGCTCGCTGGCTGAGCGAGGCGCGGGAGCAACACCAAGGCTTGCAATCCCATTGCCGGTCCCCGGTCCGGTGCGGGGGCAACACTGAGGGTTGCGATCCGTTTGCCGGACACGGAAAAAAGACAAAAAGACAAAAAAAAAAAGAAAGATTCTTCCTCTTCATCTGGAATGCTAATTGCTTTTTAATATAGTTGTCTTACTTTTTTCTTTTTTGAATATTTTTGCATGTAAAGTAACATTATGTGAACCCATAAAACAAAATATTTTTTATTAGAATTTTTGAGAAATACTCATGTGATATCAATCATAGTGACTAATTAACCTTTGTGAAGCTGACTTTATAGTTTTCTTACCTCTAATTTTCCATCTTTTTAAAATACAGAATTCCTTCTTTCACATAGTATTTTATCCCTCAGTATTCCTTTTCTCCATGAACGATGAAAATTATTTCTCAGGATATTATCCCAATTGAATTGATGAATGCTTTCTTTTGTTATTCTAAGTGGCTTACTATCATACCTTTCAACAAATATATTTTCCTATATTTACATTCTTTTATATTATTCTTTTTCTAGTGTTTATACCAAATATCTTAGTGGTTCTGATGAGATTATTTTAAGGAATTACATAACCACTCCAAGAGATGTATTTCTTTTCATTTTTTCTAATAAAGTCAACTTTCATGAGTTGTAAATTTTTATTGTTTTCTGGTTTGTACATTCTGCTTTTATCAAGAAAACTTAGTGAAATAAAGAAAAATTAATGTGTTTTTTCCAATAAAAACAGAGATGGTGTTAGAATCTTAGTTGGCATTAGTGTTGTCAGATTTTTCCACGAATTGTCAGAAGTACAAACATTAAAATATGCATTATGTCAATTAAGATTGTGTTGTCTCAAAAAAAAAAAGATTATGTTGTCTCAACATAATTTGAGATTATTCAAATGTATATGTAAATTGATAGATGTCATTTATATTTGGAACTATATAATTAAATCTACTTCTTTATTGACAGATATGTTTAAAGGGGAAAGTACACATATTTAAGTACTTAAATATCCAGGCATGTTGCAGAATGGATAAGAAACCAGATTCCCTGGATCTTCCATCATTGAGTAAAAGAATGCCCTCCCGGCCTCTCACAGACAGGTAATGTAATATTCTTACAGTCTCATTTGGTGATGATTTTTGTCCTCTCTTTTTAGAAAAGATATTTATTAATCTTTAGCGTACTGAATATATTTATGCTGATTGGCCCAGCATTAGAATAATTGGCTGAAGCTAAGTATCACCATCATAGAGTGAACTTCTGGAATGCTAGAATAAAGTTGAGATTTTTTCAAATACTAAGTGTTAAAGTTTTAGTAGTAGAAATGTAAACGTTTAACATCATAATGTGGAAACACTAATTTCTCAGCATATGACTACTGTTAATTTATTTTGTGACCACTGTATTGTACATTTGTAATAATAAGTAGAATTTGACTTTGAACTGAGGTCGGTAGAAGAGCAAGCAAATCATTATGGGGATACTACCTTTCTTCCTTTGTTTTTGTCTGGATCAAAGATGATATACATCATTGATGTTCTTTCTGTTCCTTCTTAAGAGATTTTGAAGTGGTAGATTCGATATTCTGTTTTTAATTCATCCTTTCAAGATGTAGATTGGTTTGAAATATTTTATGAAAATATAATTCTGTGCAGTAGTATGGAAAATAACTTGGAATGAGGTGAGACTACAGAAAGGGAGACTACACCTCTGTCTAAAATATTTAAAGGTTTGTCATTACATATGTGATAAAGTTTAGATTGCTTGGAATGGTAATATAGTATTGAGTACTGTTGTTAACAGTGCAAATTCTTGAATTACCATATATTTTTATTGCCTAAGTAGAATTAAATATTTATACATTAGATTTATGTTGGGCATCTCCGGCAGCCACATGGGACCCCAGCAGGTTTTTCCTTTCCCTAGAGGGTTGGGGCGAAAGGGATTGCCCTTTTCTATCCCCCAGGACATGGGGCAAAAAGAGATTCCAAGAGATGGGTGAGCACGCCGCTGCTCTCCCAGATAGGGAACAAACACATACACACGCAGCGGGGGTTCTGTCAGGCAGTTCCCTTTATTGTAACACAAAAGATCATATTTATATGCTTAGCAAGCAGGGACTTCCAAGCTTAGGCCAATCCTTGAAAAGGTCAAATGTGCACGTGCCTTGCCTCTCTATGCTTAGTCCTCCCCCTTAACTTCCCTTGTGTGCCAACTTTTATCTGTTTAGGCCATCTGTTGTTTTTGCTTGGAAAAAGGGCATGGTCCCATAGATTTAGTCCCTAAAGATTATTTTGTTTAATATCATGAATGGCAGTAGTCTAAACAATTCTACAAAAAATACAACACATATTCTAATCTTATTAACCTACTTTATATTTTTAAATGAATTTGGCATTCATTGTTACAGTCATTTATTTTACAAATATCAGTTGATGCCTATTGGAAGATTCAGGGTATGTTTTGTTGAATGCCATACATGTTGGTCTTGACACTCATGGAGCTCCCAGTCTACTGGAGCAGTAGCCAGTGAATAAACAAAGCAAGGAAATTATACACACACACACACACACACACACACACACACACAAACACACACACACACACACACACGTTTATTTCAAATTATGGTGAGTGCTATGAAGGAAAGGAGCATATTTCAAGAGTGTGGTCAGGGTTATGTCTCTTTGGAAAGGCGGAGTTTTAAGTCAAGATCCGAATGAAGAAAAGCCACTTTCGTGAAGCATGAGTCAGGGAAAACATCTCAGGCAGAAAGAATGACGTGTGCGAAGGCCTTATGTCAGGAAGGAACTTATTGTATTCAGAAAACTGAAAGGAGTCCAGGATTATTGGAGCAGGGCGGCTGAAGGGTAGAGTGGTACAAGTTGATTTTGGAGAGGCAGTCAGAGCTCAATTCATGTGGGGGCTTTGTAGGCTGTGGTAAGAAGTTTGAATTTTACTTAAAGTACAATGGGAAGTCATTGGATAGTTTTAAGCAGGGGAATAACATTATTTGATTTATGTTTTAAAAAACTATTTTGGCTCTTAGGAGAATAGATTGGACGTAAGCAAAAGTAGAATCACAGGAACCAGTTAGGTTGTTGCAGTATTCCCAAGAGATCAAGAGATCTTGGATAGAGTGATTGCAATAGAGATAAAAAGAAGTGGACAGAATTAAGATATATTTTGGAGATCATCTCTAGCAGTGCCGTCCAATAGACATATTATGCAAGCCACATATGTAGTTTTTAATTTTCTTGTAACCCATTTTTAAAAAGTAAAAAGAAACGGGAAATTAATTTTAATACTACATGTGTTTAATCCAGTCTATCTAAAATATTATTATTTCAATGTGTAATTAATATAAAACATTAGTGAGATATTTTACATGCTTTTTTCATATATATTTATATTTTTTAGTAGCTGGCCAGTACAGGGATTGAACACTGGACCTTGGTGTTATCAGCACTGTGCTGTAGCCAACTGAGCTAACCTAACCATCCCGCCTGCTTTTTTCATATTAAGTCTTTGAAATCTGGAATGTAGTTTATATTTATAGCGTGTCCCAATTTAGAATAGCCACATTTCAAGTGTTCAATAGCCATACATCGCTTGTAGCTACTTACTGTATTGGACAGTGAAGGTCTGTACAATTGGTTATCTGGTGTTTTGATCTTCCACTCACAGCACATATTGAACTACTTAGAAAATTCTTGTATATGCTTCCCACTTTCATACTCAGGCTCTTGGCTATATGGTTCTTACTACCTAGAATGACCTTTTACATCTTGTCTATTTTGTAAACTCTTTATTCTTCATAGACAGGCATTACAGTAGTTATGTATATTATATTAGCTGTGGAAGCCCTTTTCTGACTCTTAATAACTGTGTGTCCTTGTGCCTTAATGTGTCTGGTTCTTAGTTTTCTTGTAAGAGTATGCAAAAAGGAAAATAACCACATAAATGCTATAGGATTAAATGAAATAATGTACTTAGCACAATGCCTTATCCATACTATTTTCTCAACAAATAACTTATTGTTATCATTGTCATGTATTACAAATACACGAATGTATTTTAGTACATGTTTGTAATATTATGCAGTGGAGTCAGATGGATTTCAGTTCTAACTATGGTGTAACTTCTTCATTCCTCTGTGGCCTTGTGTAAGTTATTTAACTTCTCTGAGCCTGTTTTCTTATCTAAAATGTTAACTATACCAACTTCATAGGTTGTTGTGAGAATTAAATGTGTGCTTGGCAATTAGTTAAATAAATGATAATCAGTAAATGTTATAATTTTTCTCCTTGGGAAGTTAACTTTTATAAGCTTTGTTATCTCATTTGTGAAAAGAAATAATGCATAAATTTAAGACTGTAAGGATTATGTATAAAATACGAGCTGCATCTAGCACAGTACCTAACTATGTAGACTCTCAACAAATGCTAGCAATTATTGCCTCCCTTTATCCTTCAAGACTTAAGCTCAAATGCCACTTTCTTGGGTAGGCCTTTCCTAACTTTACCAAGGAGAATTAGTTGATCTCTCTTTTCTTTTAGCACTTTGTATTTACCTTTTTTGTAGTCTTCAAAAACATACAAACAGATCCATCCCTCTCTGGGCTGAGAGCCCTTTGAAGGCAAACTTTTTTATTTATCTCATCTTAAGCATTCAGCACAGTGCCAGATAATTGGAAGGTGCTTCACTAAGTATATTGATATACTTCTGAAAAGTATAAAAATTTGTTTTTTGTTTTTATAGCATGAAACTGTATTTGGGGGAGGAATTATAGCATAGTGATTAAGATCAGGGACTTTAGTGCTAGATAACCCAGGGATCAAATTTAGACATTTGCAGGTTGTGTCTGTATTAGTTCATTTCTGTCGCTTATAACAGAAATACCTGAAATCGGGTAATTCATAAAGAAACAATATTTATTGCTTACAGTTTCAGAGGCTGGGAAGTCCAAAGTCCAGGGAGCACATCTGGGGAGAGCCTTGTTGATGGGTAGTGACTCTTCACAGCTAAGCGGGGTGCCACATGGTGATGGCAGAAGCAGAGAGAGAGACTAACCTTCTCATTCACTCTCCTTTTAAAGCCACAAGAACCACTCCGGTTATTCCAATAGTGGATCAGTCCATTCACAGGGGTACAGTTCTCACAATCCAATCACCTCTTCAAGACCTTACCTTTCAACTACCAAAACAAAATTCCTCACCTCTTAACACTGTCACAGTGGGAACCAGGCCTCAGTGATTTTGGGGCTTTGGGGGGACATCCAATCCACAGCAGTGTCCTTGGGTAAATTGCTCAATTCCTTTCAGAGAAAACGTTACCAATCTGCTAGAGTTTTCACAGGAAATATATAAGGTATTGTTTTTAAAACACTTCACACAGTTCTTTGCACATAATAAATGGTTATTGTAGAGTGTGTGGTGAATCTGCAAATTAAAGTGGAAAATACTTTGCTACCTGGGTGGCATACTTTGTAATTCAGAAATTTGCAAAAATAGCTCTAGCCTAACACTGAAACAGTTGTGTATTGAATGCTTTGCAGACATTTTTTTTTTTTTTTGCATTCTCTCTTTTCTTAATTATTAGATGGGCATTATTTATGCAACTAAAGCATATTTTTAGAGCTAATGAAGAGGAAACTATGTAAATTAAAGTTAAAAAAATTTCAAAGCCCAGTGATGAAATTTTGCTAAACCAATTGGAAACATAGGTCTTTTATCAATATGGTTTTTTTTAGCAGGGCAGTCTGCTTTTCTGAATCTCTCAGGAGAAATAATAGGTTATTGGTAACAATGTACACTTTACAACATAGCACATGAAGGAAAAAATCTTGCCTGAATGACATGAGTAAAATGTTTTGTAGGAAGATTTCTGATTTTTTTCCCTCATGTCCTTAAGGATCTTAAACATAAAAAGCACATATTCTGTATTATCTGGGTAAATTTAAGGTCAATTGTACATTATCTATGTAAGGAGAAAACCCTAACTGCCCTTAGGATTTCTATTTCCATAGTATGGAAGATTTTTATCCCAATAAAAATCATGGCCCTGACTCTGGAATTGGAAGTGACAATGGAGAGAAACGATTATCTACAACAGAAGTGAGTCTTTTCTATTACTGATCTATTTTATTTTACAATTTTATTGGGACTTTGAAATAGAGACACTTGCACAAAGTTGACTTTTTATTTTGCTTGAAAAATATGATTATCATTATATTTTATGATTTCTTTTTTTTTTTTCCTTTTTTGTCTTTTTTTACTGACCGGTAATGGGATCGCAACCCACGGTGTCGCGCCTGTACCGGGGACCGGCAACGGGATCCCAACCCTCGGTGTTGCACCCGCACCGCGCTCAGCCAGTGAGTGGGAACCGGTCTCCACATGGGATCCGAACCCTCGGCGGGAGCGCTGCCACGCTCCCAAGCGGCGCACTCTCTAGTGTGCCACCGGGCCGGCCCATATTTTATGATTTCAAAAATGAAAAGAACATGCACATTTTTAAAAGCAGAACAGTAATCCTTAACATATTAATTTTTAGTTTGAAAACTGGAGACGTAAGGCAGATATTCTGTAATTCATATGTGAAATTAAAACAACGTAATCCTTATCTTATGTTTAAAATGCCTTATTTGTACTTTGTGCTTATTCCTTTCAGCCATCAGATGATGATACAATTAGCCTTCACTCTCAAGTCTCAGAATCCAATAGAGAGCAATCATCAAAAAATGACAGTCACACAGTGGGAAGTAAGCCTGATTCTCAAAAAGGTAATTCATATAGTATCAGCTATTTTTATCTCATGTACATAGCTCTCATCAAAAGTTGTTTTTTAACTAAAAATGGGCTTTGAAAAATTATAATATCTTTAGCCAACTTTTATATTTAGAAAATATAAGCACTGAAGTGTCACAGCATACCATTTACTATTTATATTTCCTAATATTAATCTATACTTAGATCAGGAGGTGTATGATTTTATTGACCCCAACACAGAGGATGTAGCAGTTCCTGAACAAGGAGATGCACATATTGTATCATTTGTCTCTTTTCTTAAGGTAAATAAAACTTTGAACAAATATTAATTACATATTCTCTTTGATCTTACAAAAGCAGACCATATAATTTAAAATAACTTTTTTTTTATATAAGGGAAAAGAAAAATGTTCTGAAAAATCTCAGAAAAATGAAGAATTGGGAGATGAGAAAAGGTAAGCACACAGGAATTCTCAAACAGAAATGGTAATTATAAATACTTGAACTATTCATTAGATATTCTTACTTAAAAGAGTACTTGAAAGAATATAATTTTTTATTCATTTACCTGCTATATTTATATTTAGATAGTTAATTTGTAAATACTTCATCTGTCTATATTCCTAAATTCAACTCAAAATTGTAGTAAGCATTTGAGTATAGAATACCCACTAGTTTTTCTTCCTGAAGTATAATAATAATGTCTATTATTATTACTCTGGAGGACAGTAACTTCACATATATTGCTTCATTTGAACTATTTAGCAACCTTTTAAAATAGTTGGTATTGACATCATTTTACCAATAAAGAACTGAGACCTGGAGTTTCAAATGTCTGGAACTCAGGTTTTCTGTCTCTTGAACTAACACATTTTCCATTTCATCAGGCTGGTTATGGCAATTTTAAGGGTATTTACTTCCATATTTTATTAAAATAATTGTGCTTTGGATTGTTTCAGCATTATTCATCTTATGAAATGATGGAATATTACCTAACACATTTTTTCAGTCACTCCTTCAGATTGCTTCATAGCTACAAGAAGGAAGGAAGCAACATTTGTTGAATATCTCTCATGTACCAGGATCAGTGCCATGTGCTTTCCCGTTTTTCTCATTTAATCTACACTAAAATTCTTCAGGGTAGATAATGACTCCATTTTTACCAATGAGGGAGGTGAAGTTCAAAGACTAAGTTTTGTGCCTAAAACCACTTAGCTAGTGTCCACCTAGCTGTCTTTGATCCTTGAACTTTTGTCTTTTCCCTCCATTGTGATTCCTCTAAGTAACTTCATTGGTAACTTTAAAGCAGTTATTAATTAATCATCTCTGATGCCCTGCGAGGAGGTACATTGCTTTGTCTTATACTCTTTCGATTTCATTCTTCCCTTACTTTCTCACCTTATCTAATGAGGACAGTTGGCTAAACTTGAGAGTCACCAGTGGCATGTAAGATGTGATAAAGAAACACTCATTGTTGGATATTGTTTTTTAAATCAAATGCCTTTGGGATAAAATGACTTTTTTGGAGAGCAATTTATTTTGGAGAGCAATTAATTTTAAAATTTCTGTGTTCTCTTTGAATGTTAAAAATGATATATTTTGGGCCGGCCCAGTGGCGCACTGGAGAAGTGCGCCGCTTGGGAGTGCGGCGGCGCTCCTGCTGAGGGTTCGGATCCCATGTGGAGACAGTTTCCCGCTCATTGGCTGAGCGCGGTGCAGGCGCAACACCGAGGGTTGCGATCCCATTGCCGGTCCCCGGTACAAGCGCAACACCGAGGGTTGTGATCCTGTTACCGGTCAGTAAAAAAGACAAAAAAAAAAAAATGATATATTTTACTTAGTATTTTTCTGGCAAGTTTGAGAATCTTATTTGAATCTATTTTGTATTTTATTTAGATATTTTACATAGAGATTTTTAAAATCAAAGTGAATAAATTGATAAAAGCAAGGTGGATCAATACAATGAAAAATTTTCATAACATTTTATGTTTATTCATAAACACAAGCTATATTAATCTGTTTTCTGTTCCTTACAACAGAATACCTGAAACTGGGTGTAGTGGATTGAATTATGTCCCCCCAAAACTCACTGAAGCTTGAGTTGGGTCCCTGAAGTTTTATGTACTAGAAGCTTAGCCCCACTGTGACTGTTAAGAGGGTGGGAAATCCTACTATGGTAATTGAAAGGTGGAGCCTTGAAGAGATGATTGGATTGTAGGACTGTGCAGTAGTGAATGTATTAATAATGGTGTGTTGCACTTTCCTCTGTGTAACTGAGATGGAAAAAAGAGAAAGAATTCACTCTAAGTACCATCAATGAGGCCTTGAGGGACTGCTACCCATCAGGGGAGCAGCCCCGATCCAAAATCAGCCTTTCTTTTTATTGACAAGACAAGGAAGTTTCACAAGAAAAATCAGTTGATTCAGTCATCAAAAAAGGACATAGAAACAAGCAGTGTAAAACTTGTAACAGCAGTAAATTATCAATGTGACATTCCAGAATGTAATTTGTAAAAAGCTAGGTCAATTCACCAACAAACCGCTTGTCCTTAGTAAACATTTTCTTTTCCACATACTTTCTACAGCAATTTCTTTGGCATATTTAAACAGCATTTAAGCAGTTTCCTTAATATATCTTAATTACAATCAGTAGGTTAAATAGTCAATAGTCATTCAAGCCGGAATCAAACCAGCTACCTAAAACAAAGTACACAATCCCATCCCTAAACAGTGATTAGAATTGATTAGATGGATTTTGCCAAACTTATCTGTAGACTCTTGTCCCCTACTCAAGAGCCTTTTGGCTTATTCATGCATTACCTAAAAACCCTATTCTAAAATCAAATGAGAATCAAGATTACTAACCCACTACAATGGTGGTTATGGGTGTGGTTCTGAGGGCTTTAAAAAGAGAGTGAATGAGGAGGTTACTTTCTGCTCTTTTTGCTCCATCATTTTCTACTATGTGATACCTGTGCATTTCTGTAAAGCCACCACTAAAGAAGGCCCTCACCATAAGCTTTCCTTGGATGTTGGACTTCCTAGCCTCCGAAACTGTAAGCAGTGAATTTAATTTTCTTTATAAATTACCTAGTTTCAAGTATTTTGTTATAAGTAACAGAAACAGACTAATACACTGGATAATTTATGAAGAAATGAAATGTATTTCTTACAGTTTGAAGTTGGGTATATTAGTCCATTTCTGCTGCTTATAACAAAATACCTGGAACTGAGTGATTTATAAAGAAAACAAAATTTATTGCTTACAGTTTCAGAGGCTGGGAAGTCTAAAGTCCAGGGAACACATCTGGTGAGGGTCTTGGTGGTGGCAACAGTGACTGTGGGGTATCACATTGTGAAATGGTGGAGCAGAGAGAGAGAGAGACTAATCTCCTCTTTCACTCTCCTTTTCAAGCTCTGTGAACTGTGCCCTTGACCACCATTTTTAATCCATTCACTATGGCATGGTCCTACAATCTAATCACCTCTTCAAGACCTCACCTTTGAACTACCACAATAGGATTTCCCATCCTCAGCAGTTACAGTGAAGATTAAGTTTTGCAGGGGAGACATTCAAACCAAGGCAGCTGGGAAATCCAAGGTCCTGGGAACACATTTGATGAGGGCTTTTCTTCTGGGTGGTGACTCTCTAAAGCAACCCAGGGTATCACATGGCAAGAGAATGGCATGAGTAAGAGTGAGCTAACCCTTCTCACTTGCTCTCCTTGTAAAGTCATGGGAACCACACCATTACTCCATGAACGGATCAATCCATTCACTAGGGCATAGTCCTCCCAAGCTAATCACCCTTTAAAGATACCACCTTTCAGATAGCACAGTCAAATTTCCCACCCTATTAACATTGTTACAGTGAGGGTCAAGTTTCCAATACATGAAGTTTTGGGGGACACATTTGACCCATTACACAGGCCATATAGAGCTCTGCAATATAGAGTCCTTATTGCACTCAAGTCTGGGAAATATGCATTGTTAAATTACTATGACCATTACATATTTTGGAAATTAAAAAATGGGTTATACTTCACCATTATTTGTTAAGCATTAAGTATTATAATGTGGCCAGTATGCCACATTTCATATTGAGTAGAAAGTGAAGGTATGTTTTCCTTAAATATTTCTTATTTCTTATGTTAGTATTTTAAATACAACAAAGACTTAAGGATTTTAACCTTCACATGTTATTAAAAACAAAAATGGTTTCTATTTCTAGAGGCTGGCATAAAATATACTTTCTAGATAACCATGTTCGTGTCACCTTTCAGACTTGAAAAAGAACAGTTACTTGCAGAGGAAGAGGATGATGATTTGAAGGAAGTAACTGATTTGAGGAAAATAGCTGCTCAGTTATTGCAGCAAGAACAGAAGAACAGGTATTCTTTGCAGTAATGAGATTTGAATAGGCAAATTTTATAATCATTAAATCCAATTATTTAAAATTTATCAAATGAAGTATATGAAGTTTGAGTTAACAATAGGGCCCTCTTAAGATCTATTTCAAGGAACTAATTACTAAAAGAAAATAGGACATACTTAGGAGGGAAATGTATAATTAAATATACACTAACAGAATATAGTCACTATATATAATATTATTTAGGTTATTTTTTTATTTCTGCATGCTGAATCGTAACTGATTTATTTGTTGATGTTCATTTTAGCTCACAGTAGCGTTATTTACATTGTAAGCATTTTTTTCCTAAGAACATGTGTCCTTTTCTTCTTTTTTATCAGATTCTGAATTTCTTGGGATTTATGTAAACGCCTTAGAATTCAGTTGAATTATATAATGGTTGATTAAATCAGTGTGATGATTTCAGAGTCACAGGTTTACTTTGGTCTACGACCATTTCTCCCTCTGATTAAGCTTTCTCCAAATGCCTGTTGTTAGCAGTGAGGACGACTTTGTGTGAATTGAGTGTAAAATCAGCACAAGTCCATTTTTAATACAGGAAAAGTTCCATGTGCTGCTGAGGGTCAGCTGTTACTGCCATCTTTATGTACTGACAGTACTACATGTATAGTTTTGAAATAATAAAGATCTGAGGTTTTTTTGTTTGTTTTGAAAAAATTAAGAGAATTCTTTTGATACATTTATCAGGGATAAGTAATAAGTATTTTACTTCATCTATTCAAAATAATAAATGTTTATGGATAAAATGACCATGTTTTGGGAAGTTTCAAATTTAAATATGCTAGTATTTATTTAATATGCTTTGAAAAATACTACTAAAACTTATCAAATGACAAATGTGGTTTTTAGGAGCCACTTTTTAGGAATCTGGATAATGGTTAATAAGCTAAATAGCCAGTATCTTTTTTGCACAGCTGTTTCATTTATAGATTTAAAAAATCATACTAGAAAATACCACTGATCTTTATCCCTTCTATATCTAATGTATCTTCATTCCCAGTTCACATTTTTCTTTTATCATAACTTTCTGTCAACATTTTCCGTGATGTTTATCCTCTAATTTTCTCCTATGATCGTTTTTGATGGGCTTGTTTTTAATTGGCTGCTTATGAGGCTGTGTGTTTTTACCCCACCAATATAATCTAAGTGTTGATTGCCACTGGGGTTTAAGGGGTTTAATGAAGCAAGCCACCACCTGCTCTGTGGAGCTTAAAAAATAGTTGACTTACTATCTCCTCTACCTAGGAGGTGAAAGAATTGTATTTATCATTATGGGAAGAGAATATTGATTTTTAAAGAACCCACAACAAATATCTATTTTTCTTATGACATTAATAATATAATTTGAGTAATTTTAGATTTTAACATTGTCATATATAATATTCTGTATTTTCCATTTCTACTATTATCATATTAGTTTTTCATCTGTCCCTGTGACTTCTTATTCTTTCTTGCCTAGGTACAACATTGATTGAATAGTTATATTTCATAGGTTTAGTTTTTGTTATACTTTTGTAATCCGTACAAAACAGCACCTAGAACTCTGCCTTGTACATAGTAGGTACTCAGTAATAGTGTTATTGGTTCATTTATTGCTTGAAAATTAAATCAGCAAATTTAGAGGTAACAGGAGCCGTTAATTTAGTTAAAAATTATATGTTCTCCCAAAGTAACTTCTGTTATTCTTCAAGATGTATGCAAAAGTGATTTCTGTCTTTCTCTGATTCTTTACATCATCTTTTTTTAGATGTTAGCACGTACAAATATAAGAAATTTTTAGATTAAATGTTAATATGCAGTGACATTAATGTTATAATAATTTTGTCTAATTTTTAAGGCATTAAAATATTTATAATAATCTGGTCATAAAGAGTGTATTTTGCTTTTTAAATTTATAATTTATAGAGAATTTACATTAGATCTCTAGCCAATTCTGTTAATAGCTGAACTTAAACTGTATCTCAGAATTTTTTTTAGTGCTGAATCTAGTATTTTTTCCATTAAATGATATTTTTCCTCTTTTTAAAATGGGTTGCTTTGGCTTAGGTCTCTTACATTTAGATAATAAAATTTTTTTGTTTACAGTCACAATACTTGAATTTGAATGAGACCAAAAATATCTGAGTAATCCTATATAAGGATATATCCTGCAGTAGATTTGATATGATTTATATCTTCTCTGGTTGTAGATTTTCATTTTCACACTGTTTTATTGTGTTTATATTCCAACTTTATTAGTGAAGGATCTGAAATGCTATTGAAAATTGCAGGCCAGGAATTATAACATTTTTTTTTAGGTTTTTTTTTTTTTTTTTTTTTGTCTTTTGTCTTTTTCCATGTCCGGCAACGGATCGCAACCCTCAGTGTTGCCCCCGTACCGGACCGGGGACCGGCAACGGGATTGCAACCCTCGGGGCTGCTCCCGCGCCTCGCTCAGCCAGTGAGCGGAACCGGTCTGTATGTGGGATCCAAACCCTCGGGCGGGAGCGCCACCGCTTCCCAAGCGGCGCACTTATCCAGTGCGCCACCGGGCCGGCCCCTTTTTTTTAGGTTTTAACATAATCATTGTACTTTCTTTGTTGTTTGTTTGTTAGTCTTGATTAAAAGTAATTTATCTGGATTGAGTACCCTGGCACACCAGGAAATACCTCCCAGAACTTCTGCTTTAACTGTGTACTACTTAACTGTTCTTTAGCTTGCTAATAGTCGAAGGTAAATGCAATGTTACCTCTCAGTAAAAGAAGCCATGAATGTATTCCAAAAATAGAGGTAATTTAAAAACTGCTTGTGTTGAGTTTAGTGAGAGTTTCTTATAGCAGTTTTACTACTTGCTTAGTTCATACTACTTTTAAAAAATACCTTTGATTCTTTAAGAATTTTATACTAATACCTGGTAGATCAGACTATCTCAGGAAAGTAAGAAGAGGACATTGAACAGAACTAACAATTAAAAAGGGTGGGAAAAGAGATCAGTAAATAAACCATCAGTTCAAAGTCTGAAGCCTGGTTATTTAGAAGACTGCCCCTCTCTTTGTCTAATTGAGATGCATACATTAAGCTACATTGTATTGACAGTTTATTGTTGAATTTTAAACAACTAATCTTTATCCCCTCTGTCAAAATATTAGAGTATTATTTCTACTTCTATCTGTATGTATTGATGTCCTTCTGAATCAATGACTTTGACTATATTAAAATAGCTATTCAGCAAGGCCTAACTTTACCCTCACTATAATTTGGGAAATTAAAAAAAAAAAAAAAACCATAACAAAAAACCCCCTATAGTTTTAAAAAATCTGTATGTTAAAAATAATGTTGCAAGGTGGGTAAGTTCTAGAGATCTGCTGTACAACATTGTGCCTATAGTTAACAATATTGTATTGTACACCTAAAAATTTGTTGAGGGAATAGATCTTGTGTTAAGTGTTCTTACCACAATAAAATAAAATTGGGAAAAAAGTGTGTTTTCTAGAATAGAAAAATGAAAACAAGGAAAGAGCTAAGAATAAAGTGATAATCTCAGAATATTTTTAATATTAACTTGAGAATAAAAGAAAGGAAATTCTGTTGAAAAAGAAAATTGGTGTTGTTTATAAATTATTGAGTTAGTTCTTCAAATTTTTATCAGCCCTACTCATGTATGTCAGTATTAGAAAAGTGGGTACTGCTCTTTTTTTAATACTGATTTTATTATGTGGCTTAATAAGCATATGTTAAGCAGGCTTCTCAAAATTTGGTTATCATTTTAAAGAAAGGATTAAAATATACGTGGGGTTCTGCAAAACATAGCTTCAGTTGACAGGTTCCCATTGCATATTCGTTCTTGCTAACTTTATAGTATTTTCTGTTATGTCTTTCCTTTTAATAACTATTTTATTTGCTTTTAGGTGTATCCTGAGAGTTTTTCTTTATTGTGAAAAGACGGGCTTCTAAGTACTCTGTGATATTGATATAGCTAAATAACAAAAAGTAATTATGAAAAGTTAATTAAACTTAAAGTGTAATTAAGGATCATGGAAATAAAGCAAAATCAGATTTCGAAACATTTATTAATTTGGTTTAGAATTATAGAAATTATGTACGTTAACTGTTTCATGGATTTTTATCTGATCATATGAATATTTCAATTTGAGAAGCGTAACATTAAACTCTAGCTTGTTATAACTAATTAGGTAGTTCTCTCAACTCTTGCAATCTATCTATTCTTCCTTTTTTGCTTCCTTTATTATTGACTTCTTGCCCTCTCCAAAAATGTCTTCTTGCTTCTCCGATCTTTTGGTATGGTTGATGTACGTGAAATATGAATACAGACGGAGGCCTTTAAGTTATAGAGCATCATTCAGTGACAGACTCTTCCAGAGGACCAGAGCAGCAAGACGTGTATCAAGGTGTCTAGTTTGTGGAAGCCTTAAATGTTAAATGGCCAGGTTGAGACAGCTGAATTGTGCAGTCTTTTACTTAAAATAAGTACTGGTAATCGTATTAGGGAAGTGTGTTAATAATCTAGAATATATGTTTTGATAAAATAGATGTCTGTTTTGAGTATCACAGAGTAAAACAAAGTGTCAATGTACATAGCAAAATTTTACATAGATGTATTCTCAAGTACATAAAATATCTTTTATAAGTAGGTGGATCTCAACTTTTTTTCCCTCTCTTTGTTCCAATATGACTCATACACATCAGTAATCACAGCGCTAGTGAGTGTGGTGTAGGGAAGAATCAGAATTTACTGTAGCGTTGAGGGTGTTGTAGTTTGCCTCCCCACTTCCCCTGCAATAATTTTGATATTTCCCCCAGGACAGTTCTTACTGTCATGTTTCCTTCTCAAAAGTCACGATTTAAAATGTATTTTTTTCTAATAGTCTTAGATATTTCATTACCTTAATTGTTTTTCGTTTGGGGATTTAAGGCAATTTTAGTGTATGCCCATACAAAGAAGAATAAAAGTGCTCTTAATGTTGAATTGTTTGGCCCAGAGCTACACTGATTTGCTATGATACTTGTTCTTTGCACCTCACTGTCACTTCCTCTCAGTGAATCTCTACTAGATCCAAGCTAGTGAGGAAATCTGTGTAATGGAAATTGGTTTCCTGATGCTAACTATTTTTCTGTAATTACCAACTTATTTATTTTATTTTGTATTTTGTCAATATACAGTTTTAATTTGAAATTATTTTGTATATTCTTTTGATAGTTGACATCTGAAGATTTTATTTTAAATAAAAGGCAGATATTTTACTCCTTTTAACACTAAACTTTAAAAGTGAAAGTTAAGTTACATTTATATGTAGTCACATTAAGAACTCTTAATTATGTACTTATCTTAAAAAAAGATAGTTAATAATTCATTACTTTGACCTTATATTAATATTTAGAATTATATAAAATTATGGACAACGAGTTTTCTCTTAACAATGGTTCAACATTTAAAATTTTTTCTTTCTTTTTTTGGTTTTCTTCAAATACGGTTTCATTTGGTTATAAATGTTTGTATTTCTTTTTAAAGAATTGAGCTTTAGCACTGGTTTTACATTTAGAATTGAAGTTTATTATTTGGCATTTGGCAGAATGATTAGGTGTTACATCACATACCTCAGTATCATTTGCTGTGCTGGGAAAACTAAACCAGTCATGATGGTACCTGAAAAATCTGTATCTCTTTGTCTTCTGTCTCAGCCAAAACTTAGATATGCACAGGGCAGTGATAGCATGGTTAGAAGATATCCAAAACTTGAGAAAGGGTTTATAAAAGAACATGCATGGAAGAGTTGGTGAACTTTATTCTTTTGTAAATAGTGTGCTTATTGGCATCTGACCTAAATAATATTAAGTTTTGTTTTCTAGCAAAGATCTTCATGGACCAAATGCAGTTTATTTTGGAGATATTTTGTATTGTTCATACAATATTCCCTTTAACATATTTTGGAATTAATGTGTTTATTTACTTCTAGGATTCTTAATCATTCAACTTCTGTCATGAGAAATAAGCCAAAACAAACTGTGGAATGTGAAAAGAAGTATAAAATATCTTAGTCCTTATATTTAATATTTTATAATGAGACATGATCCTCTGACAGTGATGTTTCCATATATAGACCTTAATTGAATAAATAATATAGATTTAATATGATTAGATAATTTAAAGAGGAAATGTGTTATAGAATGAGTAAAATTTACTTTTGATATAAACAAAACCAAAAATGCTGATTTGATCTCTTTTTTTGCTCATACCTGCATTTTGTCTTGATAGAATCATTCATTCAGCGAATATTTATTGTATTACTATAATGCCAGGCATGATATGTTTCTTTTTCATTGATTGTGTTTATTCTCTTTGCTATTGTTTACATTTTGATTTCTTTTCAATTGGTCATTACTAAATTCTTCTATGTAAATACATGATCTAATTCTGCATATATGAATTCCAGAGAATTAGAAGAACTTGAAAGTTTTTGTTCTTTTTGGTGTTTTGAAAATTTACATCAGACTCAATTCCTGAGTTAGTCCTATGGGAGTGTAAAGGTCCAAGGCTTGGGGGAAGTATAGAAGTACCCACAGAGAGAATTAACATTTGTTGAATGTTAATTGAATAACACTGTTCTTATTGTTTTAAATATATGATATCATTTAATCCTCACAATAACTGTGAAGTTGTTACAGTTGCTGTCTCCATTTTACAGATGAGAAAACTGAGGCTCAGAAATTAGCAAAAATTGCTTGAGATCACTTAGCTAGTAAGTGGTAGAGTCAGGATTCAAACCCGTATTGTCTAATTTTAGAACCCCAAGTTGTAACATATGGTACAAGAACACTTTGTTTTCTCCTGCTCCACACATCCCACTGGACGTCTTTTGCTAGATATTCCACAGTCCAAACTGAACTTATTTTTACCTCAAACCTGTTTCTTATTCTATGTAGTCTGCCTGAGTGAATGTGCCATTATTTATGTAGTCACCCAAGTCAGCAACTTCGGAATCATTGAAAACTGCTCTTTCTTATGCACCCCTCCCAGTCCAGTCAATCAGAGAAAATTATAGCTTCTTAACACTGCTTGCATCTTTCCCAACCTCTTCATTCCTATTGCATTTGCGTTGGTTCAGGCCTGTTTGTTTTCCACCAAAATTATTGTAACAGTCCCTGTGTATGTCTCCTTTCTTCAGTTTTGCCTAGCTTTAAGTCTGTCTTCTGTACTGTAGAAGAGTGATGGTTTTAAAACACAAGTGTGACTATGTGACTTTCATGTATTATCTTCTAATGGCTCTTTACAACTTTTAGGATAAAGCTTAAAATGTTTAGCTTAATCCATAATGTTGAAGTGGGTTTCTGCCTACCTCAAGAGCCTCATCTCATGCACTCCCTCTCTGTCACCCTTTGCATTTAGGAGCAAAACTCCTTTCTGTATTCCAGAGTGATTTCATATCTATGTTCTGCATCCTGGTATCTCTGATAGGATTGCCCTTCCTTCTTCCTTTTTTGGTTTAGTCTTTCAGAATTCAGTTCAAGCATGAGATGACTTTCCATACCCAACTCTGGGATTATTCATCTATCTCAAATTTTATTTAATTGGATTTAACCCACTGTCTCTCTCTTTTGGATACTGACTCTGTTATGTTAACATCTTAGCTTTCTTAAAGTTTCTATTATTTACTTTCCCCCTCAGTTCCTTTCATTCCCACTTTACCCTTTCTCCTCAGGTTCCTAACATTGTCTTGTGAAAGCCCCAATTGCCCAAACTTCAAAACTGTGATATCCAATCCTGGCCTTTCCTTCATTACTTCTCCTATTACTTCTCCTTTTCTCATTTTCAAAACAATCGCCAAACTCCTTCTTTAAAAACAAAACAAAAAATTTAAAATTTTTTTCCTGATTGCAAGAATAATATAGCTTTATGATTGAAAAATTGGAAAATTTAGGAAACATAAAGAAAAAAACCAAATAAATGTCACTCATTATCCCACACCTGTAAGATAAGTTATATTATTTTGGTATTTTTACATTTAGGCCTTTTTTTCTATATATGTACATGAATATTTGCATTTGCATGTGTGTACGTGTATCATTTGTATACACTGCAGAGTTGTATACCCTTTTACATCCTCAACACTGCCACTTAGAGGTGTAAGAAGCACGTCAAACTTCACTTTCCAAAACCACATTCTTTTTTTTTTTTTGAAATGTTTTTTTTTTTTTCATTAAATTTTTATTTTGTCAATGTACAATGTATATGATTATTATGGCCCATCACCGACACCTCCCTCCCTCCTGCCTCTCTCCCCTCCCCCCCAAGAATGTCCTTTCCGTTTGCTTTTTGTAACAACTTCAAAAAGGTATAGTTGTTATATCTTCTTCCCCCCCCCCCCCCCCCTCCGTTCTTCTTTTTTTTTTTTTGAAATGTTTTTTTTTTTTTCTTCCCCCCCCCCCGGTTTTTTTTTTTTTTGTGTGTGTATGTGGGTGAATTAATTTGTTTATTTTTTAGCTCCCACCAATGAGTGAGAACATGTGGTATTTCTTTTTCTCTGCCTGACTCGCAAAACCACATTCTTAATCTCCCTTGTTGTACCCGCAAACCTGTTCCTCCTGTATTTTTCCTCATTTTGGAAAATGTCAACTCTGTCTAGTTGGTCAGCTCAAAAACCTTAGTCATCAGAGTCATCTTTGATCTGTCCCTTTCTCTCACACCCCTTATAAATCTTGTTGACTCTACTTTTAGAATATGTCCAGAATCTGATCATGCCTTTCCACTTCCACTTCTACCATCCTAATTTTAGCCATTTCTTATTTGAATTATTACAACAGCATACTAACAGGTCCTTTTTTACTCTAACTTTCCTTTAGTCTATTTTCCACAAAGCATCAGAATGATATTTTAAAAACATGTCAGATCATGCCATTCATCTTTAGAATTCTCTTCTTCCCATCTCATTCAGAATAAAAACTGATTTCCTTTAAGGCCTTGTAAAGACCTACATTATTTGGCTCCCTATTGTCTTCTTCTCTTTTCCTAGTTAATTTTGTGGTAGCTATACTGGCATCCTTGTTGAATTTCAACATACCAGGCATTCCCCCCATACCCCCAAAGCCTTTGCCTGTCTGGAATGATTTCCCCCCAGATAACCATACGACTTAATCTCATGCCTTCAGGTTTCTGCTCAAATATCACTACATCAGCACAGTATTCTTTGAACATCATATAAAGGAGCATGCCTCCCCTGCTCCTTTGTCCCTATTTCCCATACCCCTCTTTATTTTTCTCCATAGAACTTAACACCATCTGACATTCTGAATATATATTTATTTATTTATTTGCTTATTGTTTTTCATCAGCACCCCATCACCCCCTGGGCACACTATAATGCAAATTTTATAAGATGGGGGACTTTATATTATATTCTGCAGTATCCCTCCACTTAGCACAATGCATGGCACACACAGTAGGTGCTCATGAATACTTGTTCAGTGAATGAGTTAGAAGAATATATTGAAAAGATGAGTGCCAGGAACAGTATTGTGTCCTGGGAGATTGAAGAGTGATCAAGAGACACATGGTCCCAGCCCTCATGAAGTTGATGATTAATGTCTTAATATATTGTTCTAGGTGTACTTGTATTTTAAGAAAGGGCTTTTGAATGTACAAATTCACAATTAATAGGAATGATTATCTGTTGGTGGCATTAGGCAACATGCAGACTTTTAGGAGAGACCTAGAAAGATTCTGGATACTTAGGTTTTGGGTGATTGGTCAGTCTCCCTGAAACTCAGCGTGGATAGCTTTGTACTAGTTGTGATCTTGGGGTACTCACCGACATCTCTAGCCACTTCTAGCAATCATCATGAGCCTTGGGTCATTACAAACAAGCAAGACATTTGTGATGAACTATTGAGAAATTGGTTGGCAAAATAGCAGGGTGTACAGTTGAAAGAGTGTGTGCCTTGAAGTCAGGCAGATTTGTGTCAGAGTCCCACCTTTAGCCTTTACTTGCTGTGATGCTTTTGGATAAGTTTTAAAATCAGCTTTAGTGCCTGGCACCTAAATGCTTAATAAATGTGAATTCTCTGATTATTTCTTTCCATTTGCCTTTCTTCCTATAGAGAGGGAGACTAACGTAGTGATTAAGATTTCAGTTTCTTAGAATCATACTGAGTTTGGGTCCTGTGTAAGTTACCCAAGCTTCCTCTGATCCACATTTACCCCATCTGTAAACACAAATAATAATAGTATATACTTCATGGTTACTGAGATGATGAAGTGGATTAATATATGTAAATTGCCTACAACAGTGATTAACACATAGAAATCATTTCAAATATGTTATTAGTTGTTGAACTATTGTTATTACTATTATGAACTTCCTTATTTTTCTGTTCTCTTGTATCTGTTCTCAGCCCTTTCTTTTTCAATTCTCATCTTTTTTTTTGCTCAAAAGGAAAATAACTTTGTGGGTATTTTTTTCTGATATTAAGAAGTATTACATGGCCTTACTTTTTCTAGGCTTTTATTTTTTAAATTTATTTTTAAACTGAAATGTAATTGATTATACATATTTATGGGGTACAGAGTTGGCTATCAGTATTTGTGTACAATATTTGATTATTGAATCAACATTATTAGTGTTTTCATCATTATAAGTTGTAATCATTCTTTGTGTCCCTCACCCAATTTCTCCCTATTCTCCCACCCCCCCATTTCCCAAATCTAGTAATCATATGACTGTTCTCTCCTGAAAGTTCAATGTATCATTGAGGTGTCTGTCTGTCTGTCTGTCTTTCTCTCTTTCTCTTTCTTTCTTAATTCCCACTTATGAGTGAGGACATGCAGTATTACTTTTTCTGTGTCTGGCTTATTTCACTTAACATAATTTTCTCCAAGCTCATCCATGTTGCTGCAAATAGCAGAATTTCATTCTTTTTTATGGCAGTGTGGTATTCCATTGTGTATATATACATTTTCATTATGCAGTTGTCTGTTGATGGACATTTATGTTGGTTCCATATCTTGGCTATTGTAAAAAGAGCTGCC